CGTCGGCGTCGTTGTCGTCGTCGAAGTCGTCGGAGACGTTGTCGGTGTCGTCCTAGTCGTTGTCGTCGGTGTCGTCGTAGTCGGTCTTAACAGGTTTTGCAAACCAAGTTGCGGGTGGGTGGGTGGGATGTTTGCGCGAGCAGTGGAGATGACGACTTCAAGTTCAGCAGAGTGGATTACACCGCGTAGATTGCACCACATAGCTTGCACCACAGATATCACGCATCCATAGAGCAACTACTTACCCTGCGGGGGCCACGCTGGCAAACCGTACAAGATTATGTATTGGGGATCGAGGACTCCCGAGGGCCTGAGGACATTCCACTCAGCAAGACTGGCGAGTGGGCTTCTGAGACCTCCATGGTCGCCCTCGCGCAAGCGTGCCAGGTCGATCTCTGGATCTGGGTGTGGGTCGCTGTGCAGGTCGACAGCCCAGAGACTTGGACGCTGTTCATCTGCCGTGCGACCCCGGCAATGGGCGGAGCAAGGCGTCGTCCGGAGCACGGCCGCCGCTTGGGCCGCGGCCCCGGGCAGGGCGGGCGCAGAAGTCGACGCGTCGAAGGCCTGCCACGCGATCGCCCACGACGCCGCAGCCGCCTCGCTCCGCCACCTCGGCACACCCGAGCCCGTGGTCGCCTGCACGGCGCAGGCCTGGCGCGCCCCGCAGTTTCGCTGCGTCGCCAGCGTCCTCGCGGAGCCGATCTCGCCGACGGCGGGGTTCCCGGCTGACGATCCGACGAGCATTCGCGTCCGGTTGTTATGCTCGCCCCGTGTCACCGCACCAGTCGCAGGCAGCGTCCCGGCGCACAATCTTGGGCATACGTGGACGACCGATCCCTCAAGGGGGCCGCCGCCGCTGGACGGGAGGTAATTGACGACTCCTTGGCACTGACGGCCGCTCTGGGCGCCCGAATGGGCTTCAGCGGGAACTTCAAAAAACGGCAGCGCTGGCAGGACGACGACACCGCCGAGAACCTCGGGATTCGGGCGGCGCCCGCCGCGGCCGACACACCGCCCCCCCGACGGCTGGGACACGGTCGCGACCCTCACGGATACGAACGCTGCGGACGCTTCCAGGCGGCATCGAGGTGCGCCAGAGGTTCGGCGTCATTTGTGACGCGAGCACGTACCAGTGGGCAACCCGGTTCATCGAGGTGCCGTTGGCTTCCCTTGTGGCGAGCACGTTCAGCGCCATCACCAACACGCGGTGTTCGCGGTGATGCCAGCGCCGTTTCTGGGCTGGCAGGGTGGCTGCGCACCCTCAGTGTCGCACAGCCATCCACGCCTTGCGAGCGGCCGCGGGCCTGCCAGACTCGCCGCTCTTGCAGGCCGCTGTCGCAGCGCACGCCTAAGAGCTGAGGCTTGTCCCAGTCTGGGGCGCTGGCGGTCACGGGGCGCGGTTGCGCTCGGCGCGACACCTCGACGGACGGGCGGCGGCAGCGGCCAGGGCGGCCGCGCCAGCCAGCATGCCATTCGACGCCGTCAAGCAGCGAACGCGGCCAGCACGTCCTGCAGGTGTGCGCGAGGGCCGCGCTACCGGCGCCGGTGGGACGAGGAGTCCATCGAGGCAGTGGACATCGAGACGTCGTCCGCGCCCGAGTGGGCGGCATTGCGTGGATGCCTCAGCAGGCGGCGCCGAGCCTAGCTGTCGATATTGCGGGGTGGAGCCGAGTTGATTTGCACGCGCCGGTGGCGCCACGGCTAGGAGCCCGCACACGCAGGCGTCGGCTCGCCACTGGTGGGCAGAGTGCGCCCGCTTCGGCGGCGAGCGCGCGAGGCTTGGGGCTGCTTTCAGAATCGCCCCGGATTGGGCCAGCCGCGGGCAACCTCTAAGACCAGCTGGGTCACGCCCAATTCTGGCCCCGGCTGCGAGCGCAGATGCAGATCGCAGCCTGCCTGCTCGGCATTGCAGCGTGCGAGGCCACGGCCGAGCAGCGCGACGACTCGCAGGGCGCCCCGCCCCCCAACAGACCCCCGGATGCAAGCTGGCGGGCGGTGCCTGGCTCGCGCCGGCACGGCACGCAGCTTTACGGCCGTGATGTTGCTGCCCTTCAGTCCATTTCAAATAGGACGATAAGCGGAAAGGCCACCCTGAGGCCTACCTGTTTGCATGCAGCGACACTCCGCTCGGTGCCTTTCGGCACAGTAGCGGATCTCTTGGGGCAAGCACACGCTGGGTCCACAATAAGGTTTCGAGGAGGCATCAGGTACTCGGCTGTCGGCTACGCGTAAGAGTGACCTTTCGTCATACTGACCTCTGGCGCAGCTCACTGGGGCCCCCAGATCGCTGAACGCGGCGCGACAGCAGCGGCTTGTGCGCTTAGGTTTGCCCCCCCTCGTCCCCAACAGCCGCGCTCCAAAGGTCACTTTAGCCTGGGATCACTCTTGCGTGTAGTTGAGGGTGTGCCCGGAGGCTTCTTGGAAGTTTTCTCTGGTGTCCCCAGCCCTTGCCGACCCAACCGACCGGGCCACGGCGTCGTGCTTGGGCCCGTTCGTTGCAGGCAGGCCCGCCCCCTCCCGATATGGGAATGCCTTACGGCCGGCGCCGCCGATCTTGAAGGCGGGCGACGACCACGACGGCGGCGTCGACAATTCGATTCTGACGCGGTGCAGATTCCTTAGTGATGCTTCGTGTGGTCTCTTCGGAGCGAGCTCGCAGGCCTCTGGGGGGCAGTTTTGGGGCCTCTTCGGAGCATGTGTGGAGCTTCTGGGGAGCCTCTTGGGGCTCTTGGGGGCCTCTTGGGGCCTCGTGGGGGCCTCTTGGGGACTCCTGGGAGCTTTTCGGGGCCGAGGGCTTGAAACGTGAGTTCGGGCTTCCGTGTGGGCACCCTCTTGGAGCCGTACTGGGGGCCTCTAGGGCCGTTCGGGAGGCCTCTAGGGCCGTCTTGGGGCCCTCTTGGGTCGTTCCGGGGCCGTTTTGGAAACCTCTTGGGGGCCTTTTGTGCCGATCTTGGTGGTATCTTGGGACGTCTTGGGGCGTCGGGAAGCCGAAAAGGCGAGAGCGCCAGAATCTTCCAAATATTTTCAAGAAAAACATGTCATGTTGCATGTTGGGGCCCTCTTGGTGTGCTTGTGGGGGCCTCTTCGAGCGTGTCAGGAGGCCATCTCTGGCGTCTTGGACCGACTGTTCGGCGATTCGGGGCCCTCTTGGACCGTCTTGGGCGCCTTTGGGGCTGTCTTGGGGGTCCCCAGGACCCCCTGGGGGAGCATGGCGTTCTGGCCCGGGACACCCCCCAGGAACCCCACCCCCCGGGACCCCACCCAGGACCCCCCCTCCCGGGACCGTTCTCGGTGTTTTTTTTTGGGAACACCCTTGGGGACCCGCCCACAGGACCCCCCTGGGACCTTCTCCTCCCAGGACCTTACCTTTCCTCCCTCCCCCCGAGGGGAAAGGGTTCAAAGGGAAGGGTCTTCCCTTCGACTCACGACGTTGCTCCATTTCGCTTTGGTTTCGCTTTGGATAGCTCGCTTGAGGAGGAGGGCCCAGTGAAAGAGGGGGCAGCGGCGACGGGCCCAGGGAAAGGGGGTTCAAACGTAACGGCGACGACGACAAGGACGACGACGACGACGACGACGACGACGACGACGACGACGACGACGACGACGACGAGAAAAAACACGACAAGAACGACGACGAAGACGACGACGCCGCCGCCGACGATGAGGACAACGACGACGGCGACGATTCAAACATAGCAGCATCTTCCACACGCCGGCAAGATCGGAAGATTTTGCTTGACGCACCCCTGGGTCCTGATGCCCTGCGGCCGCTCGCGAACCCTCCCTGCGGGCCCAAGCGAACGTTCAGGGGCAACGTTAGGGGGGGGATAGGGCCAATGGGGGACGTACCGACGCCGCCCATTCATCGCCGACACAAGCCCGACAGCCCACCGCGCTTGGGACCGTGCGGCTTCGCTATGGGGGGCTTGTCGCCGATCAATCGGCGTTGCATCGTCGACTCCAGCCCGATGTTTTCTTCGTTTGTCCTGCCCCGAACGTTCTCCCCCCCTCTCCGCCTCCTCCCCTCCTCCTCCTCCTCCTCCTCCTCCTCCTCGTCCTCGTGCTCGTGCTCGTGCTACTCCTCCTCCTCCTCCTCCTCCTCCTCCTCCTCCTCCTCCTCCTCCTCCTCATCATCATCATCATCATCATCATCATCATCATCATCATCATCATCATCATCATCATCATCATCCTCCGCTTGCCTCCTCCCCTCCTCCTCCTCCTTCTCCTCCTCCTCCTCCTCCTCCTCCTCGTGTTCCTGAGCGAGGCAGGAAGGACGGGGACGCGGAGAGCGAGGGGCCCCAAGGCCCCCGAAGGTTTCTGTCGCAGTCCCGGCTGCACACGCAAGGGGAAGAGGAGAGCACAAGAAGTTCAAACCTCGATTCTTCTTGAGACCTCCTCCTCCTCCTCCTCCTCCTCCTCCTCCTCCCATGCTACCCTTGGCATCGGACCCGTCGGAGGCGCGCCCGCTCGGCCCCCTGCCCCCGAGGACCGTCGTCTCTCGTCAGCTGGCGGGCTCGATCCTTCGTTCGCTGTTCGATCCTCGGACCAAGACGCCTTCAAAGTCTGTCCACGGCCCCCGTCCACGGCCCATCCTGGCTGGTATTTCGAGCTGCGTCCAGCCGTGGCGGCGAAAGCCTTCAGAAGCGCCCGACAAATCCGACTCGGAGGCACCGACGTCATTGTCCTCCCCCCCTTCTCCCCCCTCCTCCCCTCCCCCTCCTCATCGATCCTTTTCTGGTTCGAGAGCTCCAGTCCAGGGTGCCCCGGTTCCTTGGGAGGTCCCCAGAGGCCTCTGGAGGCCGAGGAAGGTTCCGAAGACTGCGAAAGGAAAAATTGCGTCCTCGATCTTCCATCCTCCGCCTCCGATCCCCATACTGGATCTTCTTCCTCGATCATCCGCCTTCGATCTCGATCCTCGGTCCTCGATCCTCCTCCCTCCTCCTCGATCACCGATCTTCGATCCTCGTCCCCCTCCTCGATCCCCGAGCTCCGGGCAGGTGCAGCCCCGGCAAGTGGACCAACCACTCGGACGGCGGCTGCGCTGATTGTTCTCCCGGGAGGCGCCGCCGCGGGGCTGACCGCAGTCGCCGTCCTCGCCGCGGCCGTCACCGTCACCAGCGCCGTCGTCGCTCTTAGCGCGGAAGTCGCCAGCGCCGTCGTCGCCAGCCTCGGCGTCGTCGTTGTCGTCGTTGTCGTCGTCCGGCGTCGTCGTCTGCGTCGTCGTCGCCGCCAGCGTCGTCTGCGTCGTCGTCGTCGTCGCCGTCGTCAGTCGTGGCATCATCATCCCCCCCCCCCAGAAAAAGCAAGGCCCCGACAGGCAACGCAGCAAACGACAGCAAAGAGGTCATACTTATGATTCATGTTTTGTTCCCCCTTTTGGCGTTCTTACGTTCGCGTCGGCTTAGTCGCCTACGGCTCCGAGTTCGAGGCACCCGATTGGGTATACGGCGTCATCTTCCATCGTCGACAAGAGGCGCTCCGAACTATCATCAAGATTTCGGTTTGGAAACTGACTGATACGTTGCAAGCCCAGCTTCATGGCCAGACCTTATGAAATTCGGAACGCGTGCGGCACAGGACATGTTGAAGGGCCTGTGGAGGCCCACCGTGAGCGACACCCGACCCGACATGTCTCCACAGTCCTAGAGCAGTACCGCGCGCAGGCCATCATCCGCATCGACGCTGCCGACGCCCCTGTGCATGTTCATCCTTGTTCTGGGGGTCGCATGGGGGATTCGAACGAGCCCGAATTAGTTGTGCAAGCCTTCTACAAACCCGTCCTCTAGGTGGAAGCAGGAAATGTCGAACGTAACAGGCCCCATCTTCCGCACCCAGTGCCCGATTACCGATCAAAAACAGAGGGTGTGCATGGACATATTCATTGATGATTTGATCCAAGTGCCTATCGTCGTCCCCGACGGCTCCTGCAAGAACGCCCTCCTCTTAGACTGCTTCGACAACTCGATCCTTAACAGGGAGCTCGAAACAAAGGTGTTGTACGTCCAAAACGTCGCTAAACAGGATACGCGAGTACGACTGAGGGCTACACGAATTACTCGAGCAGCTGGGGAGGAAAACTAAGATCAAACTTAGCGGACTCCCTGCAACAGATCTTACTCATCTAGTCGGCTGTATCACCGTGAAGGGCTGAAACCAGAAAGAAGTTACCGAACGGGTTAAGGCGGCGAACATCGGCTGATGCTGATTCGGCCAATATTGGTTCTCTTCGGAGCCCGAACGTGCAAAGCAAATGACCTTCTGGGACAACGTCGCTCGGCGTATCTGGAGTGGCCTGGAGTCCTACGTGCCACTACCTAGCGAAACTCGACAATTCGACCGAAGCACTGCGAAGAAACTTCGGGCCATGCTGCGAAGGGGGGCCCACAACGTCCACGATCTAGGCCACCACCATTCCTTAACTACCTGCCAGGTGTTTGAGTATTGGTCCGCCCACTCCTCAGCGCTGTAGCTCATGATCCGCCGGCTGGAATGGTGGCAGAATATCGCCGCTGAACCACGGCATCATGCCCAGCTCCTGGCGGCCGTCTTTGGTCGTCGCCCCTTTGAAGAACGGATGGGCACGAGCGCGCGCCCCCCCCTCCTCTCACTTCCGAGTGCACGGTCAACACCGACCCAGATGTTCATCTATTGGCAAGACAGTCCCATGCTGATGCACGGCGTGTTCTGGCCCACCCCCTTGGCGAGGACCTTCGAGAGTGTTGGCAATCACCCATCGTTCGTGATCCGTAAGGGCTTCGCCCCATGCCGCCAGCCCCCTGTCTCGGATAATGGGAGACGCAAAAGCTAAATCATGAGGTCTGGGCGCCGCCGTGAAGCAGTGTCGGGACCTGTTTGTTTTTCGACCCTGACCCTACGGATCTGCGTGAGGGGTGCCGCCGAATTTCAAACATGTGGCAAATCCTTTGTGTTTTTGGACCCTGACCCTACGGATCTGCGTGAGGGGTGCCACCGAATTTCAAACATGTGGCAAATCCTTTGCGTTTTTGGTCCCTGACCCTGCCGATCTGCGTGAGGGGTGCCGCCGAATTTAAGAAATGTAGCAAATCCTTTGTGTTTTTGGACCCTGACCCTGCCGATCTGAGTGAGGGGTGCCGCCGAATTTCAGAACTGTGGCGCGTCCCCTGTGTTTTTGGACCCTGACCCCGCCGATCTGCGTGAGGGGTGTTACTGAATTTAAGAAATGTTGCAAGTCCATTGTGTTGTTGCACCCTGTCCCCGCCGATCTGCGTGATGGGTGTCACCGAATGTCAAACATGTGGCAAATCCCAGTGTTTTTGGACCCTGACCCTGCCGATCTGCTTGAGGGGTGCCAGCAAATTTCAAAAATGTAGCAAATCCCAGATGTTTTTGGACCCTGACCCCGCCGATCTGCGTGAGGGGTGCCGCCGAATTTCAGAACTGTGGCGCGTCCCCTGTGTTTTTGGACCCTGACCCCGCCGATCTGCGTGAGGGGTGTTACTGAATTTAAGAAATGTTGCAAGTCCATTGTGTTTTTGCACCCTGTCCCCGCCGATCTGCGTGATGGGTGTCACCGAATGTCAAACAGATGGCAAATCCCCAGTGTTTTTGGACCCTGACCCTGCCGATCTGCTTGAGGGGTGCCAGCAAATTTCAAAAATGTAGCAAATCCCGGATGGTTTTGGACCCTGACCCCGCCGATCTGCGTAAGGGGTGTAAATGTTTACCTCCCCCCCCAGAAATTTTGAGAACCCTCCCAGGGCGTTGAAAAAAAATACCAGTTTGGGGCCTCCCCCCCTCGCGCGGTCCATCAACAAGGAACAGTAAGCTTGTAACAAGGAACAGTAAGCAGCAAGAAGCAGAACTGTACCAGTGGAAACTGGAAGCTGCAACTGGCACAGGAAACTGCGAACCTTCCGCCTACAGCGTGGTGGCCCCACAAGGGGGCCAGCGGATTTGTTTCAGAAGTCTGAGGTCAGTGGCATATTTCGCTGGTGTGGTGTAACATGATTGTGTTTCGGGCCACTTACCTAGCCCGAGAGTGGCCCTCCCAGTGACACCCCTTTTGCTGAGCACATGCAGTCCCAGGCCATTCAGGATGACGACTCGGACGATGATGAGCCACTATTTGTCTGCGGCCTCGAGGGGTGCTGTAAGAAGTTCGCTACCACGCGCGTCCTCGTAGCAGGCCAGGTGCATGCACGAGACCCTGGCCATGGATGTCCGACTATCTTATATACTATCGCATCTGAAAACAAGTGTTTCATATGTGGCACGGTGTTCCAGTCCATCGAACGTAATATCCGAAGTCCCCGACGTTGATGCCTACAGGGTCGATGCATCCCCGAGCTGACTCGTCACGAATACGCCTAGTAATCCACCCGATTACGCTTCTGCCCTCTGCGCGAAGAGTCTGCCTCCGAATGTCGTCGACACAGGTTCCCCCACCCAGGTGAACTGCGAGCACCTCTGCTCCCTCACACCCCTCCCTCACCGTTTAGGCTTTGGAGTCGCACGGGTCGCGCCGAACCTCGCGCTTGCGAGGCCGAGGGCGCCCGCGCCGCCGCCGCCGCGGTCGGCCTGCCCCGCACCCGCGGAGACCCGCGGGCTGCCGAGGACACGCCCGAGAACCACCGCAGGTTCCAAGCGGCTGCGCTGAGCAGCCGACCACCGGCACCCCACAGCGCCACCGCCAGCCAACAGCGCACGGCCCCCTCGGAGGCGAGCTTCGATGACGGGAACCAGACCGACTACGGTGAGCGCCAGCCCAGCGTCGCTGAGTCAGCCGAGAGGACCATTCACAGCGACACGGACCGCATGGGCTCCGATACCACGCAGCACGCGACCAGCTGTCCCTTCAAGACCAGTCATTGCTCAAGACGACGACAGCGGCAGCGGCGGACAGGCCGACCAAGCCGAGAGCTGCGCGGCGCCTGACGCGTTCCTCGGCTGCGTCTGGAACTGGCGGAATAGGCGCCAGTGAGCGACCACGGGCGAAGCAGCGCGCACGCGTGACATGAAGGGCAGGGCGGACATGGGCGAGGACGAAGGCGGACGGGGCGAAAGGGCCCCAGCTCCGCGGGCCGCTGGCGCGGCAAGTATTCGGAGAAGCAGTGAACCATCATGGGCGGCAACATCCACGTCCTTCTGCTGGCGATGGTCAAACTCCTTCTGCAAAAGACGCAGAAGACCCGCATGCTCCAGGCCAGCGCGATGAACGCCGCCACCCCCCAGTGGAGCACGCAGTAGCGACCAGCATCGGCGACGAGCTCGAAGACGAACGAGGTTGGTTCCCTGCGGAAGAGCGCGGACAAAGAGAAGTTGGCCACGTTCGGGCCGCCCACCGCGGCGCTCACAGTCGCCGCGATTGAGACCTTGGCGACTTGCGAGGCAGGCGGGGCCATGATGACCACGTTCAACGATGGGCTCGCGCCAGCGCAATCAGCGGGCCCTCTCGAGGCGACGGTCGCGAAAAGCGACATCGAGGACAGCGTCGCGCCCTTGCGCCCCAAAAGATGCCACGACAAGAAGTTCATCAAACTGCAGATCTCGATGAACGACTTCAGCCTCCGCAGCACGATCCTCACCATTTCCAAGCCCAGGGCGTCGGCAAGGCGATGACGGGGGTTGGCCCCTCCAGGCGAGCCCGAGGAGGAGTTCGGGACATGGGCCGACACGCCCCAGCAGAAAATTACCCCCTGAGGCGCCCAATTGTCTGCGCGCGCAGCCAGTCTCCTCTCCCGCCAGCTCGTCAGCGCACAGTGCTCTCAGGCATGGGGGCCCGCAGACACCCGAAATTCCAGTTCGTTCTGAGACTTGGTCCCCGCGTCTGGCGAGGGGGGCCTGGATCTGACAACCCCTCTCCAGATGCTCAAAATCTCCTTTTTCGGCTAGTTCCCCACCCGCCGCCAGCACTATAAGACCGCCGCGGGAGCAACGGGCGACCACCCGAGCTTCCGTTCCGCCATCGCCCGCCGTAGAACCAAGCGGGGGAAAACAGGTGACCACCCGAGCCTCCGTTCTGCCATCGCCCGTCGTAGAGCCAAGCGACGCCGAAGAGGATGCTGCACGAAATCTTGTA